CAAGGTCGCCGTCTGCCGCCTCGGCCGCCTCATCCGTAGCGTCACATTCCGTAGCAGCCCCATACGCGTCAACCCAGTAGGCCTCGCCGGCCGCCTCGTCCTCCTCGTCCATCGGCTCCGCCGCCGCCGCCGCCGCACCCTCCTCCAAGCCATCCTCCGCCGCGTCCGCCGCCACCGAATCCTCCTCCCACTCATCCTCCGGCGCCTCGCACTGCCGGCGAGCCGGGTCCGGGTGCATCCAGCAGAACCACTCGGCAGGCAGTGGGCGGGGCGTCTCGGCGGGCAGCCGCCGCCACTTGTCGCACCGGTCGCAGGCGACCCACAAGCAGCGGGCCTCGCCCTCCTCGTCCTCGCCCTCGCCCTCGTCCGAGCCGAGCGCCTCGCTGCCGGCGGCAGCCGACCCCTGGGCAGGCGCCTCGCTGACCGCCCGCGCGTACGCCACCGCCGCCTCGACCGCCGTGTCGAAGGTGCCGAGGGAGTCCCGCCTTCCGTCCACCCTGTGCCGCGCCTGGAAGCGGCCAGAGTCCTTGCGCACGCCCCTGTAGCCGGTGCCGTTGCTGGAGAGGTACAAGCGCATGCCCTCCGCCTCTGTCACGAGCGGTGCCGGGGTACGCGCCGTGGCACGCGCCAGGAGGGATGGAGGGCTGATCCCCGCCAGCACGCGCTCGCATTCCGGCCCCACCCTCTGCCGGGCCTCGAGCAGGATCTCGGCGCTGTCGCAGGGGCGCGCCCGATCCAAGCCGAGCGGCTCGAACGACCACGACGCGCCAGAACCGACCCGAGTCGACTTGAACCACGCCGTACGCCGACTCGCATCCGCTGGCTGCGTCGCCTCGTCGCCCTGATACGCGCGGCTGTTGCACAACAGGGTGCCAAGGCGCGAGGACGGCTCCGCGCTGTCCAGCAACTCGCGCAAGCTCGTGACCAGCGACTTCAGCTCCTCGCCCGCCTGCTGCACGAACTGCTGCAAGCATCCGAGGAGCTGCTCCTTGCTCAGCGGGCCGTGGCGGGCAAGGACTAGCGCGGCGACGTCACGGGTGCGAGAAGTGAACCTTGCCGCTTGGGCTAGCCCGCTCGCCGGCGCCGCCGCCACAGCTGGCGCCGCCTGCTCCCCTGCGACCGCGCGCGCGTAAGCCTCGCCCTCGCCCTCGCCCTCGCCCTCCTCGTCCTCGCCCTCGTCCGAGTCGAGCGCCTCGCTGCCGGCGGCAGCCGACCCCTGGGCAGGCGCCTCGCCGACCGCCCGCGCGTACGCCACCGCCGCCTCCACCGCCGTGCCGAAGGTTCCTAGGCGGACAGTCTTTCCGTCCACCATGTGCTTTGCCTCGAAGCGGCGGGAGTTGGACTGCCGGAACACGCCCGTGTAGCCGGTGCTGTTGTTGCTGCGGCTGGAGACGTGCAAGCGCAAGCCCTCCGCCTCAGCCGCGAGCGGTGCCTGCCGCGGCGGCGCCGCAGGCACAGGCCCCACCTGGACTGCTGAGGCAGGCACAGACGCCTCGCCGGCAGCCACCGCCTGCGCCGTCGGCGCCACCACCGTGCCTACTGTTGCCGCTTGAGCTGGCCCGCTCGCCGGCGCCGCCGCCCCGGCTGGCGCCGCCGCCTCCGCAGCGACCGCCCGCGCGTACGCCACCGCCGCCTCCACCGCCGTGCCGAAGGTGCCGAGGTGGACGGTCTTTCTGTCCCGCCTGTCCTGCGCTTTGAAGCGCGAGCCCTCCTTGTACACGTTCTTGTAGCCGGTGCTGTTGCTGCTGGAGAGGTGCAGCTGCAAGCCCTCCGCCTCTGTCGCCAGCGGCGCCTCTGCCGTCCGGGCAAGCGCTTGGGGAGGCCGCGGAGGCGTAGCGGGCATCGCGACGTGGACCTTGCGGCTGGCGGGCAAGTCGGCAGGGACGGTGACGTCGAAGAAGGCGCCATCCACGACCTGCGGCGGTGGCAGGCAAGCGGAACGGTGAGTCATACCAGGCCTCCCCGCCACATCTGCTGCCTCGCACAGCGGTGGCGGTCCTTCTGGCCGGAGAGCACGCCCTCGGGGATCTCGAGCGTGGGGCGCGCAGCCGCTGGAGGCGAGGCCGCTGCCGCTGTCGTGCTCCATTCCGTCGTCGTCGCCGCCGCCGCCGCCGCCGCCGCCGCCGCCGCCGTGCTCCATTCCGCGACCGCCGTGCTCCATTCCGCCGCCGCCGCCGCCGGGTCCGCGACCGCCCGCGCCGCCTCAACAGCCGTGTCATAAGCCCGACGGAATGGAGCCCCCGTGGATGTCACGTAGGTGGTCTGCGGAGGGTACAGGGCGGTGCAATAAGGGGTCTGTCTGGTTCTGCGATGGCGCGCGTAGCGGAGAGCGGTGCTGAGAGCGGCGAGCAAGCTCACCGCTTGCTGGCAGGTGCGCGACTTGTGGCCGATGCCGCCGCAAACCGAGCAACGCTGCGGCTTGTTCTTGCGCGACGAATGCATCTGCGAGGCGGGGCCGCCCTCCGCCTCCTCCTGCACGGGCGACGCGTCGAAGGTCGCCTCGCCCTCGCCTTCGCCCTCGCCCTCGCCCGAGGCCGCCTCCCGCGCCGTCTCGACGTTGAGCAGAGCTGCCGCCGCCGCCGCCGCCGCTGCCCGCTGCTCCACCTCTACCGCCGCCGCCGCCGCCGCCGCCCGCCGCTCCACCTCTGCCGCCGCCGCCGCCGCCGCCGCCGCCGCCGCCGCCGCCGCCGCCGCCGCCGCCGGGTCCGCGACCGCCCGCGCCGCCTCCACCGCCGTGTCATAGAGGCCGACGTGGACCACCCTTCCGTGCTCGTAGCGAGTCGCCACGAATTTGCCAGAGGCGTGCCTGTGCACGCCCTCGTAGCCGGTGCTGCTGCTGCTGGAGAGGTGCAAACGCATGCCCTCAAACACTGACGCCGCCGGTGGCTCGCCGACCGCCCTCGCGTAAGCCGCAGCCGCCTCCACCGCTGTGCCGAAGGAGCCAAGAAAGAGCCGCGGGCTCTGCGCGGCGAGAGGGCGAGAGGGCGAGAGGGCGAAGCGGCCAGAGGGCAGCTTGTAAACACTTTGATAGCCAGTGCCGCTGCTGCTAGAGAGGTGCAAGCGCAAGCCTTCCGCCTCCCTCTGCAAGGGCGGCGCTGCTGGCTCGGCTGCTTCCTCCTCCTCCTGCTCAGCCATTTCCCCCGCAGCAGCCATGCCGCCGCCAGCCGCCTCCCCGCCGCCGCCGCCGCCGCCTGAAGCCTCGACCCCATCACAGCAGAGGGCTGCCGCCGCCGCCTCGACCTCTGAAGCCGCCTCCGCCGCCCGCTGCTCCACCTCTACTGCTGCCGCTGCAGCCGTCGCCGCAGCCGTCTCGGCCTCCGCCTCCGCCTTTCGCGCCGCCTCCGCCTCCGCCTCCGCCGCCTCCGCCGCCTCCGCCTCCGCCGCCGCCGCCGCCTCCGCCGCCGCCGCCGCCGCCGCCGCCGCCGCCGCTGCCTCCGCCTCCGCCGCCGCCTCCGCCGCCGCCTCCGCCTCCGCCTCCTCATCCATCCGAGCCGCCGCCGCCGCCGCCGCCGCCGCCGCCGCCGCCGCCGCCGCCGCCGCCGCCTCAGCCATCCGCACCGCAGCCGCCGCCGACTCCCCCTCCGCCGCCTGCGCCGCTTTGGCCGCCGCCACCGCTGCCGCCGTCTCCTCTGGGACCGGCGGGCCAGCAACCTCTGAAGTTGTGCTGCCGACGGGCGGCGGAGGCTCCTCGCTCGACGCGGCCGCCGAGCTAGCCGGCGCCAGGGCCGCAGCCGCAACGACAGCGGAGAGCTGGTCGGCTTCGAGCTTGCACGTCTGCTTCGTCTCGTCCCAAACCATCACCAGTCCCTTCTTCGTCGCACCGCCGCGCTCCGGCTTCATCTCGTGCGCGGCGATGCAGCCGCCGCAGGTGCAAGGCATCGCGATGCGAAGAGTGTAGGGCTCCGGCGACGGCTCGAGGTTTCGGACCCGCAGCTTTTTGATCCAGGGCGTAGCCGGGTCCTCTTTGTCGAGCGCCCGCGAAAGCTTGCCGCTGTGGGCGAGAGACTGCCAGGAGACGGGGTCGGCCTGTGCCATTTTGCAATCATGAAGAAATCATCCAACTGCTCATCGGTTCCGCGCTTTCGCTCGACGACACCGTGGAGAATCGCACCGAGGACGCGATGGGCCGGATCACGTTGGACCCCGACCCCGCCGTGGTGACGTGGCCCGACGCCGAGTACCTCAACTTATGCGGTCAGAGAGACGACCCGTGCGGCACCAAGACGAGCCCCTGCTGCCAGTACCTCTTCTTCGAAGCTTGCTGCGACATCCTCCCGGGGAAGCCATGCCGGCTGCTGTATCCAGTTGCGCTGCCTTCGTGCCTGCTCTGCGGCGCGCTCACGTTCTGCGAGCCCTGCCGTGACGTCGCCTGTTCCGCGCGCGCGGCGAGGACGGCGATCGACGAACGATGCGACGCCCGCTGCGCCGGCACCGCAGCACGTGGATCGCGGCGACGAGGGTGCAGCGCGTGGCACCGCGATCGAGGTGACACGACAGTTTTAGTGAGGCGGGTCTGGGGAGGGCGGGGGGGGAAGGGGTCGGGAAGGGGGGGGGGGGTTTGGGAAGGGTCCGGGGAGGGTGGGGTGGGGCAGGCGGGGCGGGGAGGGGTGGGGCGGGTGTCGGAAGAGGGGAGTTCGGACGGCGGCTCCTTTAACACACAGGAAAAGGCGGCACAGGAAAAGGCGGCACAGGAAAAGGCGGCAACCGCGCGGGGCGGCACAGGAAAAGGCGGAGCCGCCGTGTCGGCCGGCCCCTACCGAGCTCAACAGAGCTACCCCGAGACCGCGCTGTTCACAGACCTTGTTATTGAGAAGAAAATACCTACTATGGCACAGCCTACTACGTGCCTCCCCGTCTTGGCTTTATAGCCTGGCGTTTGGTGCGAGATGCCGTGAATCGTTGGGCCCCTTGGCAGCCCCGTTGACGTCATCGATAGCGACGTCGTCGCCCTGCACGATGGTGAAATTGCTTCCGTAGGACTCGTCAGTGCACTTGTTGCTGACGAAGTTGAGGGTGTCAGCGGTGGGCGCCCAACCGGTGACGTCGACAATCGTCTTGCCCTGCGCGCGCGACGGGAGTCAGACGCTCGATTGCCCCCCTCTCGTTCGCCATCCCTCCAGGCAAACGACGCACCGTATGGCAGGCGATTGGATGGGAAGGGAGGGGTGCGGCGAGGGGTGCGGCGAGGGGGCGTGTGCGCGTGCGCGTGTGCGTGTGCGCGTGCGCGTGCGCGTGCGTGCGTGCGTGCGTGCGTGCGTGCACGTGTGTGTGTGTGTGTGTGTAAGGCTAAGGGGGGGGCATGGCGGGGTAGAAGGGGTAGAAGGGGGAGCAGGCGCGGGGGCATGTGGGGGGCGCGGGGTGGGGTGGGGAGGGGTAGGGTGCGGGGGATGGGGAGCACCGGCGGCGGCGGCGCGGGGGGGGGGGGGGGGGGGCCATTTAAAAGGCCTTTTTTTTGAATGCCGCCTCTTACACGCGGCCGGCGCCCTCTCGCGGCAAAAGGGTCGAGCGAGCGGGAGAGTCGCGATGTCTGCGCACCCGCGCGCCGATGGGCGGCACACGCAACCGAGAGAGGCCCTGTCACGCCGCCAGTAGCGTTCTCCGCACTCCCCACGCCACCAAATGCCGCCTCAGCGCCAGGTCAGCCACCTCTTACACGCGGCCGGCGCCCTCTCGCGGCAAAAGGGTCGAGCGAGCGGGGGCAGAGTCGCGATGTCTGCGCACCCGCGTGCCGATGGGCGGCACACGCAGCCGAGAGAGGTCCTGTCACGCCGCCAGTAGCGTTCTCCGCACTCCCCACGCCACCAAACGCCGCCTCAGGGCGCCAGCCACCTCTTACACGCGGCCGGCGCCCTCTCGCGGCAAAAGGGTCGAGCGAGCGGGCAAAGTCGCGATGTCCCTGCGCGCACCCGGGTGTTCGCCGCCTATATAATGCTCTATCCTGTGCCAAGACGGACACGTTTTGACAATCAAAATCTACCTCAAAATTTGCGGCCGCCCCTCGAAATTTGCTGATCAAAATTTGAGCGGTGGCCCGGATCGAAACCTGTACTTAGGCCAACATGACACTCACAGTGCCGCGCCAGTCCCGTGCCCAGTGTCGTGCAAAAAAGAACTTGTGCGCGGAAAAAGAATACGCATCGGAAACGCTACAAGCCCGGCGCCTGCACCTCCCTCAGCATCTGCAGCATAAAGTCGAGGTCCGCGACGGTGCGGTCGACGCTCTGCTTGGCCTCCGCGTACAGCCGCTCGAGCTGCGTCGTCCCTGCCACGGCGAGGAGGATATGGGGAGAGATGGGGAGAGTTGGGGAGATATGGGGAGTGCGTTGTCCCTGCCACGGCGAGGAGGGCGGCGCTGCGGCCGACTGAGACCCAGCTGTGCCACTGTGCCATTGTGTGCAGTGCTCCCCCCGGCGTGTGAACCAGAGCCCAGCCGCAGCGTGAGTGGCCTGCCCTCCGTGGCCGGGGCTAGGGCGGTGTGTGGGCGGGCGGGCGGGCGGAGCAGCACTCTAAGGGGCTAACATCTGGTCATCTCGGGCAATATCGGGCCATCTCGGGCAATCTCGGGTCCTCTCGGGTCCTCTCGGGCCATCTCGGGTCCTCTCGGGCCATCTCGGGTGCGCTTGCGGGGCACCCTTGGAGGCGAAGACGACGCCGTAGAATGAGTCGTCCACCTGCCTTGCGGCACGCTCGCATCTCGGGCGATCTCGGTCACTCTCGGGTGCTCTCGGGTGCTCTCGGGTGCTCTCGGGTGCTCTAGAGTGCCATCTCTCTCTCTCTCTCTCTCGGGCCATCTCGGCGCGCGCCTTCTTCAGCGCGAACACCACCTCCTCGCCTACCCGAGATATGGGCAGATGTGAAGAGGTATCGGCGCGAGCAGACCACCTCCTCGCCTCGCCACGGCCCCAGTGCGACAGCTGAGTCCACGAGTTGAATGCGCAGACACTTCTCTGAGGTGTCCTGTCTACCGAGTCTCGTTGCACTGTCTTGTACTCGAGCGCGTCGGAGTGGTGCGCTGCGTCTCCTCGAGTGCGGGCCGAGGCCGGGTCCGTGTTGCCGCATCTCTGTGCCGTAGGTGCATGTGCATGTGCATGTGCATGTGGCATGTGCATGTGCATGTAGCATGTGCATGTGCATGTGCATGTGCCGCATCTAGGGCGGCCTCGCCCCGCTCCACGAACTCGGTCACGTCGAGCGCGCCTGCGTGGGTCATCAGCCATCAGTCGCCAGTCGTGAGTGCAGCAGTGGTGATGGGGTCACGTCGATGAGTGATCAATGGGGAGTCACTCATGAGTAACGGTGTCGGCTAGAGCTGCGGCGAGATCTCGACTTGATCTCGGCTAGAGCTCGCCGCCCCACGAATCGCCGTCTGCGCTGAGCGCGAACTTGCGCACTGCGGCGAAGGCTCCTGCACGGCCGCGCGGGTGGGTGTTGCCCGAGACAACCGACACAGCAAGCGCAAGTCACCCGACGCAGCGACACGAGGAGCCGCGGCAGTGAGCTGTGGCGAGCGAGGTGCGTCGATGCGAAGTGGCGTGGTGTGGCGTGTGGGATGCGAAGTGGCGTGGCGTGGCGTGTGGGCGGATGGCACCGTCGATGCGGTAGAGCGGCGTCTCTTTTGCGACAGCGATCGCGGCGTCGCCTTTTCACACAAGGAAGCTCGCTCGCTCAAGCTGCTCTCACGGCGCAGCTGCCGGCGGTTTCTGTGCCTCTCTGTGGTGCCACGCCGCCGAGGATCTTGCGCGCCGCGTCGATGTTGCACGCCCTGCCCTCCTTGTCTATGCATGCGTAGGTCGACCACTCGCGCTGCAGCCTCCGAAGCGCTGCGTCGGCGTCTCGGATCTGCTGAATCGCCTCGCCAACATCGTCTGAGCCTGGCGTGCGAGCGAGCGCAGCAGCCGGGACTCCTGCGCACGCAGAGCCGCCGAGCAGCACGGCGCGGCGACTGGTGGCCTGTGGCGTGCTTAAGCTCGTGACGACGAGGGTGAGAGTGAGCACATACATGGCCCTAAAATTGTGATCGCGCCCCCGGGACCAGGGTTCCGGCTCCTGACCGGATAGGGGGGTCTCGACATACACAATTTCACAACGCACGACAGGTATAGGTAGGTAGAAAGGTGAAGAACAGCCAGTGGAGGGGCCCCTCCCAGATAGGTAGGTAGGTTGGTCTTGTTTCGCCCAAAAGGGCCCTGCAATAGGTAGGTACTTGGATCTTTTTTCGCTTCGTTCGCTGGGGGCGCGCGGGGTAGGTAGGTAGGGCGTTTTGGCGCGAGTCAGTGGCGACAGACCCCCTATCCGGCTAGGAGCCGGAACCCAGAGCTTTGAAAAGAGAATTCTTCGAGGTTCACCTCTAAAGCCCCGATACAAGATTTTTGCGTGCCCGCGCCGCGCCCTACGGAAACTCGAGAAGGCCCCCGCACGGGGGGTCCCGGGGGGCACCATGATCGTCCGCTAAGGGTCCGGGGTCGCCCAGGCAAGTGGCCCAAATCCAATGAGTTTTCCAGGTGTGAACAGCAGCTGAGAGGTGTGAATTCATCCCAGGCGGGGTGCGGGGCGGTAGCCCCGCAGAGAAAATTTTGCGTGCCGAGGCACTGAGATCGCAGTTTTATTAGTCCACGGCGGATCCAGCGGCAGCTGTTTCGAAGAAACGCGGTGCCGCATTTGAGCATGAATCAGCGTAATTCTGCTGGCATCACGCATAGGAGAAGCCGAGAGGCACAAGGTCCTCCAATTTGCCGGATCAGCAGCGCGGTATGGAGCGTGGTTGTGGCGTATGCATTTGCCCCCGGCAGTCTGAATGGACCAACGCCCGAGCTCATACTGCGCTCTGTGCAGCCCTTTCAAGCAGTGAACGGGATCGGCGAAGTATAGTTGCGCCACCACTATCGTTGTCGTTCCTGCCACGCACACCGGGTGGACGCGCGACAGGAGATGACGGCATGCTGGAGCGACACACAGTCTCAGTGAGACACACAAACTCACAAGGCTATCTAGATAACTTTCTAGATAGTCATCGTCGCCGTCCTTCATGCTCGGAC